CTTTGCACACATTACCTCATCCTTTTGGCCAGTTTGTGTTAACAGCTCAGTTGTTTCAGCTTTATAGTTTCAAAAAAGGAACGGGTTTTAACATTTGGATATTTTCATTTTTCGATTTTGACCTTTGTTGACTTTTGTTGACCTATATCTTTTGACCTCTATTATGTAGGAACTTGACATTTGGAATATAACGTAATATTTTGAATATTAATTAACCTATTTAAAAAAAATTGAGGTGGGCGTGGCACTTCCGAGTTAAATTTCTCATTATTGACATTTTTGGCCAGGGGCATAACTCGCAAAGTATACATTTATTCAAAATGGAACTTTGCACACTATTACCTCAAATTTTGAGCCATTTTGTCTTAGAATTTCAATTGTTTTTGCTTCATAGTTCAAAAAAAGGAACAGGTTTTGGAAATTCAAAATTTTCAATTTTTGACCTTGACCTTTGTTGACCTTGACCTTTGTAGGATCAAACGTCATTGGCATTGGCTATCTATTTAAACTTTTATATTTGCAGTCCTATGTCAACTTCCGGTTTTATAGTTGTTAGCAATTTGAAATTTTAATGGCGTATATCTCTTGATCTTGACCTTTTTAGACCTTCTCCTTTACAAGATCAAAGGTCATTGACCTTGGCTATCTGCTGATACTTTCATTTGTGAGGTCTGACGTCCACTTCCGGTATTACAATCTTCTAAAAAATGAAAATTTCTCAACTTTAGACCGTTCTTGCGCTTGATCTAATTATCGTGGAAGGTTGATTTTTTCGGGTTATTTTGCATTTTGCTACATTTGCAAAGTCCCACTCTGTGCCACGAGTGGCTCTAGTTATTATTATTATTATAAATGTTTTCATTTATTTTCTTGTATCAACATTTCACTAATTGCTTAATATAATCAATTCTTTAATGCTCGCGTTGCAATATGAATATGCGGGTGTGCTCTTTGATTTTGAGGCAGAGACGTCATCGTCATCCTAACCAATATGTTTTGGGAGATTAAGAATAATTTCCATGCCTATGCCTTTAATAGCTTGAAGGTTTAAAATTAATTTTGCAGACGAACTCGCAAAAATAAGACTAGGACTATCGGAGACTGACCGGATAGACTGCAGTTTATTGGAAATAAGGAGCTTGATCACAAAAGGGTCAAATTGACATGGGGGGGGGGGGGACTCTCATAGGAGCTAATTCATTCCGCTTCCGATAAAACGATAGCAGTAAATTGTTTTAACACCACCCCAGTCGACAGATCTGTCCATCGATCGCCCGTCTGATAATGATGGGTGAGGTACGAAATCACAGATACGAACTAAAGCTATGTCCTTATGGTGAAGCAGAATAACTGTTAATCGATTCTGAGAATCTAGGAGAACTTAGGCAACCGCTGTTCGATATAATAAAAACATGGAAAATTATGTCCCATACGGAGAGGGTATGTCAACAGTCTGTGAGACAGTTTATTATTTTCTGAGTGAATCAGGAATGATCACACGAGTAGAACATCAGAAGCATCATGCATCCCCGATAGATGGTCAAGAAAACTGACAGAAGACACCTTAAGAGCACGTCGCTGTTCACAATAAGAAGCAACTGACAAGAACTTTAAGAAGAACACAGGATGAAGAAGAATTAAAAGAAACCATGGGAACAATTTGCTCCTTACTCAACTTTGTCCCCACCGAAGCGGACATCATCCCCAACCAGTCGTAGTAAGTAAAATTACTGTCCATCTTGAATTAAAATGTACATTAGTGATAGGAGTCTTGACCCAGTATTAATAGTAAATATTGGTGCATCTAATCTTTAATAAGATCTAGAAAAAATTAGATTTGCACAATATTGAAGTTCCTTTATTTTGAAAAAAAAAATAGAATCAAACCTTGATTGAAATTTAAATAGGAAAATCTGTCGGGTACATGAAAAGTAATACCTTATTTCGGCAAGTTTTACACCCATATATTATCTTTTCGGCCAGCGATCGAAAAAACCTCGGGTAGACAAGTGGTGTTTTTGTGCCTTCGGTGCTATCAACCCTTCAAAATTTTCGGACTATCCAGCCTTGTTTTCGCGTAGACTTCCTGCCATCCTGTGTTCAGTTACCAACATGTATCACGACTTTTCATGATTTAATGAACTAACCTAAGGCAGACGTTACATAGGACGGAACAATTCACTTTTCAAGTGTCCCGTTTAATGGGTCATTCGTGACCCAATGAATTAACAAAGCGTTTTCAATAGACTGCTTACATAGGCGTTCATTTTATAATATCAATCGGTTCCCTTCATTTCTTGAGTGAGCTCACGAATAGCATGATTCGAGGAATAGACATGTTCATTATTTTTTTCGACTAGAACATATGAAAAGTTTATAATTTATTACATAATGATTGAATTACAAAAACACATCTATACACACAAAAATGAAATAGAAAATTTAGAGGCACTATTCTGTGTTAATATTATGAGTGTGATATATGTTATATCTATATAAATTCGGCTATTCGGAGCAGAGGCACAAACATCTATATTATGTAATTTCTATGTTAAAAAACATTCAGTTCTTACAGTATTGAGCTATGTAAGAACTTGAGTAAAAAATTTAGCTGGTAGTTCTGCCATATATAGATCACTCTATAATTCATGCATTAACTTCTGTTTAACAGTGAGTACTGTGTACTTGTTTTTATTGTACATACATACATTTTATCATTTAGCACTTGCGGTTTTGCAATATTGTAATAGAATTAATGAAAATAATAATAAAACAAAAAAAAAGTGAAAGCATTTTCTTGTATGGTTCAATCTGGTATGCTCTTCGGAATTCTACTGTTTAAAACGTAATACAATGATATCTTATACTACAATAATAGTAAATATTTTAATTTACATTTACATTTGATCGGAGAAAAATCATTCATAATTGTATCAGCCAAAAACATGATGTTGATCCGTCTTCAGAATATTCCAGACTATCATATAAGTACTGTTTAAATACATGAAACCTTATTATCTGACATCATGATAAGTCAAAAGATAATTGAATGTCAATGAAATGAGAATTGTAAGTAGGAAGATAAATTTACTACAAACACATTTATAGAATCAAGTTTGACTTTGAAGGTTTACTCAATATCAAGTTTATTGGCTTCATATACAGATTTAGCCATTTGGCAAATGGTATTATGAATGATATTATACTGGTCATTAGTTTTATGTAGTGGAATGGTAAGGTAGGTGGTTGTAGGTAAACCGTTTAAAATAATAAAGGTACCATGGATAAAATCATCACCACTATTACACTCAAATTACTCACTCCGGCAGAACCTACAAATAAACCACAAATAAATAAAAGTCAATGTCTCTGGATCGAATAGGATACATAAATGCGACTGTTTTTTTTTAGGTCGAGATCGAATTCGACCACGTTGTTACATCAGAAAAACAATACGGATTGTATTTAGACAGAATTTAGTGAATTGACCACTTACCATTTGGACCTGAATGATCAAAGGTGACAGTTGCCTTAGCATCGATAACCTTTTTCTGGCTGGGTTCTAACGAATCATATTGCGCTTTAGTAAGAGCATTAGCTTGATTGGTACTGAAATGTTTCAACTGATCAACACTGAAAGCCTGAAATAAGAGGAGCATGATTGATTAGTATGCAAGTAATGTTTCTGTAACACTGGGTCATTATGCTACTTGGAAAATCCAACCCAAGATTCAACATCTGCATCATATTTGGTGGTAATAGGCACGGAAGTAATTCATTTATAACACCGAATCAGCATCATATATTGAAAGGTCATACAATAAATAATGGTAATTTACTAAATTAAATAATTAAAATTCCACCTTTAACATCTCTGTGGGTAAAGTAGGTATGACATCTGTTTTGATAACATTGATTTGATTACTCTGTAGCTGAGACACATGGGATGACTCGAAACCACCTTAAATGAAAATATTAGGATTGCAATTATGACGTACACTTGTACACGATAGTGTACTAGCATTATTTTCAGAGGATTCGACCTGATTTTGATGGTCTTATGATAATAACACACACCGATAATATGTCAATGATGTGTCTGCCTGAGCGATGCTAACAGAAAAATGATTATAAAATGATGATATTACCGATAGTGCGTCCTAAATGATTGATCACGCTGGGTTCCCAAGTATTTATTTGACCACCATAAGCGGCGACAGCTCGTTTGGTATAGGCTTTAAGTTGTTCTAATGTGCATGATTTAGCCTCACCAATTGGTTTCATAGCATGTCTGTAATATGAAAAGTATTTGTGAAGCGGGTATACTGCAAGGAAATGTCAAGAATGCGATTATTGTTGGATACACAGAATCCCAAATCTTAATAAATTGATAATTTATATACATTATTTGCTACAAGACATTCACAGAGCATGAACAGCATCATGTGATAGAGAAGAGACTTGAGAATTCGGCATCGATATTTAGAGCTCTAATCTTTTGATTCGAAGAGTTTCGGATTTCAGTTCGAAGGCAATTAACTCACTTGAAAGCAGCAACTGTTATTTGTGAAATATGAGCAGGTTCAGCACCGCAAACATATTCAGTCAAGGAAAATAATTCTTGACCAGTAATGGAACTAGCATCGTTAGTCTTTGATAGTGCTAGCCATCTCTTGAATCCTGACTTAAGCTGGAAAATCAAGGTTAGAAATATTAAATTGGGTCTCATAATTAATACAATATTTCATGAGGTGATCAGTCTGACAATGAGAAGAAGAAAAACTGATGATAGGAAACAACTGACAAATACATTGACGATAATATTGTGTTCAAGCAACTTATATGGCTAAAAAGAAATTAAAATCGGAGACAGTTCTCTGACAATGGGTTTCTTGCTTCCTACGGAATTCATTGTCACAAAATATGTGCATAGTCATTATGAAAAATTAAGATACCCTGTTTTAGGTACTATTACAGCAAACGATATAAATACCTGTTCCATGGACATTAAACCATGTTTTCCAGAACTAGACATGGTGTCGATAGTACTTAAATCTAGTTTGTTCATCTGTTCTGGTTTTAAACCGGCTATAATACTACCTAATCGAATAATAGTATCAGCATTCCATGTGGTATGAGCATACACGGCCTGCAAACATAAAAAAAACGATTAACATTCCTTAATTACGTCGGCTTTAATTTTTTTTTCACGAAAAACTTTAAATTTTCAACAATAGATTTGTATAGCTTTGTGCCAACCATATTTTTGGATAAATTGTACAGATACAATATGACACTGTATGGGGCTATAGTGTTTAATCCAGAGTGAAAATATCGAAATATTCTTCCAACACTTACCGTCTCAGCTCTTGTCAGTAAAACATTTAGATGTGCATCAGACCAATCACTAAGCTGTCCAAATGTTCCCAAGCAATTTGAAAACTCATTTGCTGCCATGTTGTTGAACTCCTCCACTGAAAGTTTGGTAGCTTGTTTACCCATAGTTTTAACTTGGTCACAGGTTAAAGTTGAGGCTGAAAACAGAATATTACATCAGACGTGACATAAATTGATACATAAATACTAAAGAGATCTCAAATAAAAATATCAGAAATGAAAAAAAGTTAACAAATTGATACTAACGCCCATGATTACAATATCAGAACAATCAATATAATCAAAATTACTTGACAACGTGATATTTGTTCTCGATATTATCTCGAACCAAGTGTGGACAGTGAAATAATTTATTTAATATACATGATACTTACAGGTAGCACGACGTCTCCTAACTGAAACTGGTTCAGACTCAAGCGAGTCCTTTAATTTTTCTACAAGTGGTTTGATATTTCCTTCTCCATCGTCCTTCTCTTCACGACCTAAACCGTTCTTTTTTCTTTCTTCTCGTGCTTCTTTCACAACCTCGATATTCTTGACAATGGCTGATACTGCAGCAGCTGTTTCCGACTGAAAGAAACGTAAGCCGTTCGATTCATTAGCATATAGCTGGTAATCAGGAGATCATATTCGTGCTTCATTTACAACTTACAGTTTAAACAAATGATGACAAAAATAGTAGTGCTGTATTGTTGTATTGAACAAACGGTTTGTCCGCTTTGTACATCCTCATGCAACATGCAACTTAATCGTCCATGGCAATGAATACACAGATCTCCTAAATGAATAATTATATTTACCTTACACAATGCTTTTATCTTATCTTCAGATAAATATCGTAAAATATTACCAAGTTGAGCCAATCTGTCGCTCTTACATTTATATTCACTGAAAAATAATGATCATTTATGTTTATAATTCAATAATTGAATTGATAATGTAAATCAAATTACTTTCAGATTATTGTTATCGACTGTATAAATTGGTAAATATAGCGTTTTGTCATTTTTCCTTAGGCAGCCCATCTGTATCTTTTTTGAAAATTTAGACTTCCTTTGTGCGATTGTTCATTGCTAGGTAGAGCGCGGTTACAGGGACGTATCATTTACGTGTTTTACTTACGGATCATATTCCTCAACTTTATCTAGGATTGCTTCAGCTTGTTCTTTTGTTACAGGCAATTTACTGAAGGCCATAAGGTTTCCCATTAAAGCAGCCTTAGAAAGCTTTCTGATGTCGTCCTCATCCATACCCAATAAACTTCCTACCATTTCTCTGATTTCTTCTGCTGATAAGTCATCCTGAAAATTGAAATATCATTGTGTAATTTTGTTGAGGTTCAATTGCAAACTTGCCTCAAACACAAGCATAGGTATAGGTGGCGTAGCCTGGAAGTGGAAGTGTCGACAGTTTATACTTCCAGGGTACGTGGGTTAAAGTAGGGCGAATCGAGCGTAGACATCCATTCCTAAAAGTGACTTGGACATCTGATCAAACATTTACATGACTGTTTCTTTTTACAATTTTTCAAAAGTGGTATATCATACACGAAAGCGTCTGAAACAATTTCTGTCATAAATCAAACAAAGTTCACTCACATTATTATCGTTATTAGCTGCTTTCAACAACTGTTTTGATTTCATGACCAAATACTTTAATTTCAGTAGGTCTATTTTGTTTGCTTTCAGTTTTGCGAGAGCATTAACAAAAGCTTTGCCGCCTTTTGGTGTGAATTTTATCTCATCGATCTCGTCATCATCCCTGAAAGAAGAATCAGATTATATTTGATTCATCAAGCCCATTTCCCTCAGTCACTAGAGAAGATCAGAGGGAAGGTGCCAAGGTGTTGGGTAAGATAATCGAGGTACTGCGTATCGCTACCTTAGCCCGTCATCATTCACCCAATCAAGTGAATATCATTTACAGCATCAGACGTTTCAACCTAGAGTAATTTTGAAATTGTTGTTAATGAAGAGCTTTGTAGCCCATGATGTCCAAACCACACTCTCAATCGTCATACAAGACCATGATTGTAGCCTAAAATGTTTGACAGTCGTTCTATTCAGCCAGGCTATATTCTCCGACATCCAGGGTTCTGGTTTCCCCCTCTCAGATATATAAAAGGTGCTGACATGAGACAATAAACCGAGACCCCGTGTGTTACAGGCTGTGTAAGTTAAAGACCTCGAAAGTTGAAATCGAAAAAGAGCTAAGGCCGCTGTCCTGGCAAAATTTCTCTCATTGCACCCTGCAGTTTTATTTCATCACGCAATTGTAAAGATTTATAGGGGAAAGGAGTGTTATGAAATCGATCAAAGATTCTGAAATTGCATAAGTCAAATGCATAATAAAAGTCAAGAACTTACAAATATATAATAAAGGGTCCTGCTCTGATAGAGTCTATTTCATCTAAATCTACAGTACCAATAACCTTTTTCACTTTCTCAGCCATAGCTTCACTCTGTATCAAATCGTGTATTTATTAATAGTTTTATCCACAGTACATGTACTGCCAAACACTGCTTACATTACATCACAAATAACATTATAACACTTGATCGATCTGAAGTACTGACTGCTAACTAAACCACTGTCAATTTTACAGATATAAATGCAATGCAGAGGCTCCCAACCTATTTCAGCCTTCGCATGCCAGGAGCAGTCATTTAGACCTTTCACACAACAACAAAATTAATTTTCTTTCATCCACATTTTCAGCATGTGATGATGTGAGGTGCTCTCTCAAATCAAAACAAATACACCAGTTGGTCAAACAGTAGGGAACCGGGGCTGCAATGATTGTATTATGGCAGATGGTTAAGTTTGATTCTCCCATGCATACAAGCCTAATATCTAATACTTCATTTAGCAATTGGAAGCAAGGCTGACTTGTGGTCTCCATTATGGTCATTTTTCGTTTTCATTATGACACTTAATTACAAAGTTATCCTCACCTGACCATCAGTTAAATCGTCGTCATGATCTCCAAGTACACTGGCGCTAGCTAGAATTTCTTCTCTGTCTTCGATTAGATCTTCAATATCGTCTTCTCCTAAACCAACAGCCAATTTACCCAAACGTTCTAAATCCCTAGCACCAAACTTCTTATTCTCCATCTTCTTCAATTTTTCTACCAGACGTGCAGCCTAAGATTCAAATATTTCGTCGTATTTTCAACAACTGAAGACTTTTTTCAGTTCCAGGAATGTAAAGTGAAGTTGTCAGATCCAATGCTGATCAAATTATTATTGTTATGTTTTATTAATAATTTATATACATACCAAAGATGGTTCCCAGTCAACCTGACCAAGCTCTTCTAATTCGACGGTTAAAGCATTATCATCTAAATCTTCAAGATCATCAAGACTCAGAGCTTCCTGGTGATGTTTACTTTTCAATACAGCTGTTGGCAATTTTCCAGCATTGGCAGATTTGATCTAAAACATTTTACATTAACTTAAGGGAACACGCATTATTGAAACAATTGGTATTTGCAAATATCTTTTATACGACAAAATATGCTGTTCGTCTTTTATCTAAGAATGCATTATCGCATGCATACAATTACCTAATTCCTAACCTGTCTGCAGATATATACAGTCAAGTAAACTTGCCTTTTCAATCATTAGCTGTTCAGCAGCATCGTCTAAATCAAACTCATCTAATATATCCAAATTATCACCAAAGACAGCATCGTCAATATCATCAATTTCATCAGACCTTAAAGCCTTAAATAGTTTCTTCATATGCTTCATCATTTCAGCATTAAAACTGTTTGGCTGAAAAATTGTTCTGTGTGTTATGTGTGTTATATTTCATAGCATAACATTATATTTTGATATAAATGTACATATATACGTATGCTATATATCTTTCAGATTTTCATTGAAAATGTACAATATCATTTCTAAAGCATGTCACAAGAAACACAAATAAAATGATGGACCACATCTACATCAGTCAATTATTAATATTTTTTTTGAATTACTGAGAATATCAGTAATTGACATCCTTAATCTTAAAATTTCCAAGAGGTATACAGAATGTAGGTCATAAAAATACATCAATTTTTGGAAATTTTGTAGTATTTTTCAAGCCAATGTTGCTTTTAGGCATTGAAACAAACAATACCTCTCCAAATTCCATCTTTTTGTACAATTCGCGTGCTTCAGATACATCGAGGTCTAGGTTAGCAATCTTCTCTAAATTTAATTTGACAGCAGATTTAGGTAACCCACGTATATACTCCTCGCCACATCCTTTCAGTACATTACCAAGTCTTCCGATCTGTACACTAGTAAGTGATCCAGGCTCATCGTAGTCGTCAGATTCTTGGATTTTTTCACAAATTAATGCAGCCTGAATTGGGAACAAACAGAGTTTATCTTAAATTCGGACAGACTCATACACGTACATGTTGCTAACTTATAAGAAAACAGAATTTCCTCACAACATTACCAATACCTTTTTAAACAATAGGATGGTCATCGGATGATGCCAGATTAATAGGCTTTTTTTGGAATTTATTCTTGAAATTAAGAGTATGTATCAGGTCAGTTTCACGTCGGAAAAATGACACCGAAGCCAAGTTAAATCAGACGATTATTGTGGTTAATACACAATGTACAAATATTGAAATATTATTGGCTTGTGGTAAGATTACCACGCAGGGCTATTTTATAATCGACGTTTAACAGAATGATTCAAATACCTCGTCGTCGTCAAGATCTTCCAGACCAATTGTATCTAAAGCATCAGCAAGAGCCTGTGGGTTCAGTTTCTGGATGTAATTTCTATCACTCTTTATAAATTTGAACAATCTGAAAGAAATATACAAATGGTAAGTAAACAGTCGTAACAACAATATCACTGTGAGTGTGAACGTAACTTACTGTATATACAATGATTTATGCTATATTATTCACATGAAACAATACTCGATTTGTATTCCTGAGGGTTATCCACTTCATTGTTCGTACTTACTTTTTCACACTAGCAGCGTTCAGCAAACCAGGGGCTCTATTTTTGTTTTTCAGTTTTCGGCCGATAGCTAATCCTAGAGGTTCATCATCATCAATATCAAAATCAAGATCAGAATCTTCTAGCTAAAAACAAAGAAGAGAATAACTACAGGACATTTCTTTGCAAATTGAAAGTTTTCTATAATTGTCTTCTGCCTTTTACCAATCAGAATCATTACGTATATCAGTACAATTGGAAAACATGTATTCGGTTTATAAGAATAAAATCTTACAGCGTCATCATCCATTTCGTCTATATCATCAGTATCCAAGGCTCGAATACCCACACCTATCATATTGATATCGGCTGCAGTCATGTCTTGAATGGGTTTGATTTTACGTAATTTTTGTTGTATTGCCAATCCTAAACCTGGTCTTCCCTTGCCTTTCTTTAAGAGTTTACCCAAAGCATCGATCCTGAAAGAAATATATATAATATATACTATTAATACAATAGTTCATATCAATTGATTGCCATTCGGAAGATAATAAATGACACCTTCTACTCATAATGAAACTTATACAAATACAATATATATAATATATGAAAAGGAAATATGACGGCATGCAAGGAAGGATGGATTAGTTAATAGAGGTAAGATAAGTGGAAGAGAAAAAGAATAACGTTAAAACAAGTTCAAAAAGGGTATCCTCTCTATATCAGTGTATCGAATTCTACCTCAACGCAGACATTCTTCATCTTGCTCGCTCAATGATTTACAAAGGAAGAAGACTGATTTTTTTCTACAATTCACAATAAAAATTTAGATTTTGCTATACACCAACATTTTCACAAAATTGATATCAGGGTATTTGCTTTGGCTATATTAAACCATGTCGTAGGGTATACTTACGCAGAAAAACATCTAGAATTCAAGTCATCAGAATCCGAGGTACAGCGGCTTAAATAGCAAATAAATATAGCAACTCAAAAAGATTGAAATGTAATTGATTATGACGGATTAAATCTACAAGAAATGTTATTTGTCAGTAACTATCAGGTTGTTATCAACAAGATTAAAGAGAACTAATATAACAGATTCTAAAGAGATGTATTCATTGACTTCAGAAATTTATTAATTTTCAGATAACACTAGGCAAAACACGTATACGTTTGCTAGATTTCTCATCCAAACATAATTTTAAATATATGTAGTAAGCTCCTACATGTATCAAACAGAACTACCACAAAATTTTGTGATCTTTTGCCGTGATGATTTTATGTTTGATAAATATATCCAAAAAGACATTGCGTGATAATATATCTCTTTAAATCAGAAACCGGAACTAAATGTTACTTTATCATGCTAGAACTAATATTAGTAGGTTATATCTGTCATTGGAGGTTTAGGTAAAATTTACCTCAGTAAAATATGAGCAGAATTTTTTTTTTTTTAGTAAAGAGTATTTTATTCATAAATATATTCAAGATATATACATTATGAAAAGGATTGGGGCCTATATTACCCCTCTCCAACAATCGTTTATATGTAACTATAAATTATATGTAAAATTTGAAAAAGATGGAAACTTATAATACATACATATTTACATTATGTACAACTTGCTCGCGGGATTTATGCTTGTAATGATAATAAATTTTCTTTTCAAAGAGCAGGATAGATTATGAAATCCGTAAAAATAAATAAAAGAGTAAATCTGTCTCACATTTTGATAGGATTAGTTTTATCTTTTTTATGACTGTTTATCCTCTTTAAACAAATAAAAACGGGAAAAAACATTTCGCAGAATATATCTTTAGTGCCGTGGATCCTGTGTTTATGACCCATGGACCACGGTTCAAGTTCTTTTATTAGTTCACTTGCAGATAATCTTATCGTTTTTCTGTAAAAAATCTTACTTTTTCTGGAAAATATCATCATCGAGATCGTCGATAATGTCATCATCGATCATATCAGGTGCTCCCAATACAGCTTCTTCAAAATCATCATCATTCCAATCCTCGACCCTTTTCTTCTTTAACTGATCAATAATTAACTCTTGCTGAGCCTCGTCGATCTAAAAATATATATTATATGTATGCATGGAAGTAGTGCTAATGAGAGAAAAACGGGCATTTTATTATCATTAAGAATCGTTTAAGTAGAAGGAACAAAAAGAATAACATCAAGCAATAAAGACTTAAAACTTAATTAGAAAGAAAACAAAACAGGAGAATGACATAATAAATCAGTTAAATACTGAAGTACTCACATCATCACCGTCATCATCATCATCATCACCATTGCCTCCAATTGACACAATATGTCTAACACACTTTATACCTGCAGCCAGTAACCTTTTAAAGCTCTTGATACCTCGCCCTCTAGAGAAATGTCGACATAATTTGGATATTGTCTCTTCATGAAGAGATGATGATAAACACTTGATGCTTTCAACCTTGGAAGTAAAAAAACAAAGTGTAAATAGTATTGTGGATTTGTGTTGGAATTTCTATGGTTACTCCGCTCCAATACTGCAATACCTTGGTTAATTGAACTATTCTATTTCTCAAATACAGTATATGAGACGAATGTCGGAGAATTTGATGAGTTGTATCAAATTACATATATCTATTAAAATTCAAATTACCTCTAAATTTTCCAGGATACCATCATCTTCATCAACGTCGTCTTTACTTTGATCACTGTCATCATCGTCAGTATTGTCATCACCATCAACATCATCGTCGAGAAGGTCATCCAGGAACTCCTTTAGAGTGTCTTGTTTGAAGCATGAGGTTGTAGACAGCACCTTCAGTATGTCTGTGATGTTTCCTGCAAGGAGGAGAATGATTGGCTTTAGCAATTCAGAGGTCGATGGTCGGAGTCACATGTAGACAATTCGTTAGCAGCTTCTAATTTATGACTTTATATCTAAAGTACCATTATTCACAAACGAACACTAATCAATAACACATATCTTGTCATTTACGGTCAAATTTGGCGTATTAAGGTGTCACAAGAAGAGTTCTTCAGAATTTCTTATATATATATAAAATCAAAAGCAAATATAAAATTTCGACAAAAAAGAGCAGCTTACGTGCTGTAGTTAACGTTATCTTATTTGGCTCAGTCTAGGCCAATAATCAAATAGATAAAAATATTAATATTAATATTGATAAGCATGAAAAGATTCTTCAAATTTCAAGCAAAACTATGCCAACATCCTGTCTTGACAGAGACATTATATTAAAATTACATATTTGTTTCCTTGTCCTTCATCTTACCACCAAGTGTTATTTCACCTTACCATTGGCTCCATATTTCTGCATGCTACATGATTTTACAATTCTATACCCATTCTAATAGCTCATAATACAGTTTAAATCACAGCAAAATATCTTTTTGGAACAGTGGGTTTAAAAATAGACTGAATATTACCATTTAGAATATTTTGTCGTTCTTTTCGTATCGTTTTAATTAAAGACATTAATTCTGGTATACCACTTCCTTTGACTTTTAATGTGCCTTTCATGTTGAACAATGTTGGTCCAAGGTTGTTTGGTTGTGTTTGGGCGACAGCAGCACATATTGCTGAAATGTAAAATCATTCACTGAAATTTTAATCCGGTAAATTAATATTATGTTATGGCGTGAAGATTCTCGTTACTAGCCATTATAAATGAATGTGTGTGATTAGTTGTTATACAATGTAAGATAACTGAGATAATTATATAAATGTAGGTGTGAAGATAAAAGATTCACAGAAATTCATCTGATCATGTTTGGCAAGTTCGCTTGGTTTCTCCAAAATTCCAATATATGAAAAGTAACCTCCATTGTCCTGATTAAGTTTGTTTATACAAAATGGGTTTCAGTACCATGTAGTGAGCTCTAGTCAATGAAAAGTGTAAAATTCTATAATCAAATCAGAAGTTTTCAGTCTAAGTAAACGTTGGTAGATCCAGAAATATTACATAAGGTAAAGTAGCCTTCGATAATTAGACGCTGTAAGTGTTAATCACTAAGGTGGATTCTAATTATGATTTCTGTCATATGCCATATAGATTTATAATATTTGGCAAGTTTATACAATCGTCGTTTATAATCTTCATATGCTAAATTACAAACCTGAATATTACCAACAATTCTGTCTGATATACTATTTTAAGTAAAGTGTATGTACTTATTTAAATTTACGTTTGGAAAAACTAATAGAAGCATTGAATCCCAGACTCATTGTTTTGTGTCCTCAAAGACAGCTCTTTCTTGAACGCGTTTTGTTCACTATGACACAACAGCATATAACAATTTATCAATTTGATTTACATGAGTATAGAATAGTCTATAATAATACAATCCTCATTGAGGCAGAATAAAAGATACGGGTGTGGTCTTCATGTAGAACTGTCCGATGTGGTTACTTTGATTGATGTAATGAGCTGTACTTAATACGACGCAGTGGCATCCTGTTTAATAAACTCGTTTTAAATTCTTCATGTTTTAGTACGCTCAGGTTGATAATAATTCCATCTCGTGAACATACATACGTATAAAATAGAGCTATTTCCATTGAATAAGTAATATGTATATTACCGTCGCAATTAATTTGGTGTTAGTCTGCCAAAAGTGAGACAAAGCACAGTTCGCATTATAACGTATTTGACATTTTGGTTATGTAATTCATTTAAACAAACACTTCATTTGTAAAAAATGATATTCTCTGGTCAAAATCGATTGAATTTGAATTTACTGAGCCGGATTCAAAATATAACAACTGGTCTATATCACGCGGGAAAGACCAGAAATGTGTCGTTGCCCCTGGCCCCATCCACGATGAGGTTTATCGACTAACATTTAACGTATTTGACAGTCGACAGCCCTAGGCATAGCTTTTTGACGTGACAAGACAAATTACAAGCATGTTAGACAGGTTCAACAACTTTCTTTCCATGTAATTCAGTCATGAACTGACTTTTCAATACCTTAGTTTGAACCTCAAACATACACAAACATTTCATAGTATTTCAATTTACGACAAACCGAAGAAATTCAAAAGCCTAATATTACAACAGAAAAACAACTGAAATGGAAATTTCGACATCGTTTTTAATTAACACTGACCAGTACAAATAGGTCATTTTTATCTGTCCCAAAATCATTTTCAGTATAAAAAAATTAAGTTTCTTAAGTTAATGATGTTCCAAGAATTTGCTTACTCAGTTTGGTAAAAATAAATAACTAACAAATTATACCGGGGCAAATATCAAGAGCAAGGAAATTGGGCAGGTTACAAATGTTAGGTTAACTTTACTTGGTGTGATACTAACTTTATTCAAGTTCATAATGCATATTGAATTTCTGAGCTTCTTTTCTTCGGCGAAATTTGTACTTTTGATGTGATATCGATTGATCTGATAATGCATGGCCCTGGGACGTAATTATTATAAGCTGTATATAAATCTTTTTTTCTGGCTCAATCAATCAATTATCTCTATCAAAGATCAATTTGACACTCATCAATCAGTCAAGTTTTTTCTAAAATTTCACTCGTGTTGTATATATCTCAATTAATTTGAGATAGACAACTCTTTGCCCTCAACAGATTATACGCAAAATGCGTTTAGTACAAAGGCAAGACTAATCATGTGCGTGATGCATAGCTCAATAACTGTACTTGCACAAATGTATTACATTTCCACCCAGTCTACTTCGTAATTTCAATATGAATTTAAGAAGTCGTTGACTCACTGTCATACAATAAACTGTCACGCACCAATTACGTTGACGAACTACTTTAAGGACACACAACACGCTGATTCACATGTATTATGATATTTTCGGAAAAAAAACATAGATTTTAAAATTTTAATGAAATTGATTGATCCCCATTCCAGCATTTATGTATATACGTGTCGACAAATCAGTTAATATGGTTGACATATCGTGTTGAACGACAAATTCGCCGCAGTAACCAGCAGCTTCATGTGTATTTTTAGTGTAGTAGCGAATATACGAGCAAGACATGGAAAAGCATGCTACGGCCAATATTGAATGGCACATCAATTTCAGAACCAAATTCCACTGAAAGTACCTTAGGTAACGGTTAACAACTAGATGACCTTAGAATATATCAAACAAGGATCAGAAAAAGTCAAGCATATGGACAACAGAAAGGTACCAGAAAAGATATAGAGAGCAACAGTCTAAACATTTCAAATTGCGAAGAATGCACCCGAAACAAACAAGTAAGAAATAAATGTGGCCCCGAATCCCTCCAAGGCGTATGTTTGACGTACATGTAGATATAATTTGAATCTAAGCCATTGGAAATGTTTAATTGGATGTGTTCAGATTGTAATGGGAGGAAAGACAATATATGTGAAAATGGTGTTGGGGTGTATTGAGACGAGTCTCAATGAAAGCACTGGCCTAGGTCACAGAGCAATAGATAAGTCTATTAATTATGTGAAAATTAGTCAGTCATTAGTATGATTTTAGTTGAAAAGACACACACACAAACATACACTGCATGTTATATGGCCATGGCACCAGTCCTGAAATAAGTATTCCCTGAAATCTAACTTAGAAATCGATTAATTTATTGATAGAACATGATACATTTATATTAAGAAATCTATGCTCCTAGGATGAATGGACATTGTTCAATGGTTCAAGTCTACCGTGAAAGAGGAAATTGCTAAGATTTTGATTTCTTTTGTAAGCTACAACGAAACGTTTTGTGTATACTTGGGGAAATTTGTTCTGAAGTTCCGAGTAATGGCGTTTGACTATTATGGAGGCTTTGGTAGCTGTAGAATCAAATGTCGTTATAAAGGGTATTATCTGGTTATCATGTTGAATGTTGAGTCCATTTGGTGTGAGTCTGTCAAGTAAAACAGTTAAAACATATTTTTTAAAGTCTATATTTTCCATGGTAATCTGGCAATTACTTTGTTTGTCTAAATAAATTGTTGTGGAAATAGAAAAGATGACCCTTAAAGTATACTTTGTTGTGGAGTACTCATTGGAGAATTATAACGTTGAATTTATAAGTTATTTATATATCAGTAATAAGTAATGTAGTCCACTTTGTTATAATTTTGAAATAAATAATCAGGGACACATGGTTATGTATGTTCATGGAGCATTAGTTGTTATTTTTCTATACATATGGGTGTGTGTTTCTTCTCATTAACTATGAAGTTCATTTCATCATCTCTGTAATCAACAAATTAATCAAGAAGCATTAAATTAATTAACTTAAATATTACATAAATATTTCAATAATGTCTTCATCGCGTTAATAAACATACTGAAGTCGAATGATATCACATAGATCACGACTTGAAATCGAGTTTAACGTAGGTAATCTGTTGCTACTGCTCTAGCAAATAAGAAGTTATTATATCTTCTATAGAAATAAGACTGAAAACTGCTCCTGTAAATGAACAGTGACTGAACTAGATGAGTGGGTGCCCGTGGACTTAAGTTTGTTGGGGCCACTCCCCCGGGTATTTAATTTTTAACATATTTATGCTCTCATACATTCTGTAACAAGTCAATTTAATGCCTGTTAATGGAAGATTTCTAGTCTGTAGTTAATACTATTTCATCCATTTATATTTGCTGGTTGCTTGGTTTGATTATAATTGTATACTTTGGTACATTTTAAGAAAATTGTATTGTTTTCCTAATGGTGGGGTCCCCTTAGTGGTGCTTGTTGTCCCTACCGTAGTTGAGTCACTGTCTATAGAATTAATATGTCGTAATTATCAAGGATTTGAAAAGAAAACCCTTGTCATAGTCAATTTCAAGCAATCTGTTTTGCAGTCATGGGTGTGGGCTCTTGAATTTCAATACACGCAACAACTGTAGAACAGCTATGTTTTGAACTAAAAAGCCCTTTAATGACAAAAATCTATATAAAAATGATGACTCACTGTCACAGTCCTGGCAAAATTGCTAACATTGGTATTTATGTAAAACTGTCAAATTTTTGTATACTGCATTTAAGCAGTAGCGAATTTGTCAGCCTGAATTAAATTGCACTTGTATTCCAAACCCGAACACTTATAAAAGCTTAAAACATATAAATGTCATAGTAATGTAAAGTGACATAAGTAAGGTTTAATGTTACTCATTGCCTAAAGACGTTAGGACCATAGCCAATTTTTTTGTCATACAAGATGTCATTGTTTTCTTTTCACTTAGTCATTACTTTAATAAGTGACACTTTAGTCATATATCATTTGTAACATATACCCCTAATATTTTTATTCCACTTGTTAAAAGATTAGATGACTGAGTGTAGAGTGCGATCTGAAAATGGGCAGAACAGATTTTGACTAGATTTCTAGGTTTTAATTAAAATGCAATCCTACCAATGGTTTAGTAATTTTGAAGAAATGCGAATACAAGCAAAACCCTAGATGCAGTTGTTGATCATTCTCCGTATTTTCATTGCCTAACTAACTTATACTCGAGAAACTCAAAATAGATTTGGTTCCTCCCATATTTTTTTATAGTAAGAAG